TTTTATATAAAATTTATTTATTTTTTCATTATAATATATAGAATCTAAAATTAATAATGATTCAACAAATCCATCAAGGAGAAAAAAGCAAAATTTATTAAAAAGAAATAATCAAAAAGATGTTATCTTATTAGAAAATAAACATAAAGAAAGAAATAATAAGTTACTTAAACTGAAAATTAAAGAAAGAAAAGTTGCTTTAAAAGAATGTTCTATTAAAGTAAAAATTGCTAAAGCAGAAGTATAAATATTAAAAGCTAAAGCTGAAGAGTTAGAATTAGTAAATATTCAACAAAGAAAGAAATATAAAAATAAATAAAATTCATAAGTAGATTATATATAGGGATAAGATTTTGTATTTCATAAAATTTAAAGTTCAAAAAAATAAAATAAATAATGATTTTACGAAGATACCATTACTATTTATGATTGATTTTATTTTTTAAAAAAAAATAACAAATTCTTTTTTTAAATGACTTTTTAATATCTATAAGAAGATAAATAAACTTTATTTAGGATTTTTTTTTTTAAAAAAAAAATTATTTGATAACTTTTTTTTAATAGATCTTACCTCTGAATAATCTGATGATTAAAGAATTTAATATTTACAAAAGGTAAGTAGCATAGTAGTTAATTATTTTATTTTAAAAAAAATTATATTAAAATATATATTTTTTTTATATAGGACTTACCTTCAAATGATTCAATGCTTGAAGAATCTAGATAATTATAAGGAGGTAAGTATAGTTATAAATTTGATTTAAAAAAAATTAATATTACAAAATATTTTTTTTATAGAGCTTACCTCTGAATGATCTACTGATTAAAGAAACTGATTTTATAAAAAAGTAAGTAATATCTTTAGTTAGTTTAATTGATTAATTAAAAAAATTTTTTAATATTATAATTTTTTTTCATAGAACTTATCTCCAAATAATAAAAAGTTAATATCTATCAAAAAGTAAAATAATTTAATTATTAATTTTTTTAAAAAAATATTTAATATTAAAAAGTAATTTTTTTTATAGGTTTATCTTTAAAAAATCCAAGGCTTTGAAATATTAGATATCTTATAAGGTAAATAAATTTTAGAATTTTTTTTACTAAAAAAAAAATATTTAACAAAATTTTTTTTATAAAACTTATTTCAAATAATCTGATGATTAAAAAATCTGGTATCT